CTCAGTGACCTGACAGTTGCTGGCTGTCTTCAGCTTCCCAGGTCATGCCTACACTCGCTGTGTCAGTCAGGACAAGCTAGCAAACGCTGCAGTGACAAGGGACCTGCAGGGCTTAGAGCCTTAACGAGGGCTTCCTTCTTACCTGTGCTCACTGCTCCCCAGTACCGGCCTGGGGCTGTGCTCCGCCTCCTCTGGGAAAGACTGACCGAGTCACCATCGGGATGGCTGACAGTTTTGTGGCTGAGAGAAAGAGACACTGGAGGCTGTGGAACAACCACTGCGATGTTCCAGCTCAGGGTCTGTCCCACGACTCCCATCACAGGGCAATGTCTGGAAATGGTTCTTCAACCACAGTGGCCAGGGAGTGCCACCCTCCCACAGGGCCCGGAAGGCTCAGGCCAAGCAGCCCTACTCACCGTCTCTCTTGCCCCTGCCCCGTCTCCTAGCACCCAGCTGGGATGGCCGTCGAGCAGTGCCCTTGGACTCTGCTCTGGATAATGACCTTCTCACTATGGCGACTTAAGCCAGCCCCTGTCCCTACACACTTCGGCGCACTCCTACCTCTGCCCTGGGCCAGGCCCCTGTCCGCTCTCCTCTTCACCTGTGTGGGCCCATCCTGGCCTCACCGCTGCTGGGGTAGCGGCTTGTCTTCACACCCTCTCCAGGTGGCTAGGCTGTCTGTTTCCCTGTTTTCTTTTTTTTTTTTTGAGGAGTCTTGCCCTGTTGCCCAGGCTGGAGTGCAGTGGTGTGATCTTGGCTCACTGCAATCTCCATCCCCTGGGTTCAAACGATTCTCCTGCCTCAGCCGCTGGAGTAGCTGGGATTACAGGCATGCACCACCACACCCAGATAATTTTGGTATTTTTAATAGAGACGGGGTTTCACCATGGTGGCCAGGCTGGTCTCAAACTGCTGACCTCAGGTGATCTACCTGCCTCGGCCTCCCAGACTGCTGAGATTAGAGGCGTGAGCTACTGCGTCCAGCCCTCTCTTTCCCTATTGTAAGGTGAGATTGGTCCTGAGGGCAGCCCTGTGCTGGGTCTGGGATGGGATTTTGCCTGCCTCACAGACCTGCTACTGCCGCATGGATGCTGGCAGAAGATATGAGATCCCTGGTCAGAGACTCGGCACCTTGTTACTCCCCACACAGCAGGCAGCACGACCATTGTATATCTGAGTCACTTTCCCCGGCCCCCAGGTCCCTGGGGTGGTACAAGCTGCCCGGGTGGATGCTGCTCATTTGGTAGGTCGCATCACAGGATGGGGATAGCTGAGGGTAAGTCATGTTCTAGCAAGCAGAATCGGGTGGCCTTCTGGCCCAAAGAAAGGCATGATCCCATTATTCAAGGTGACTCGCTGCAAGCTGAATCGTGAGAAGTGGCCAGAGCGAGGAGTGGCCAGGGCCCCGCATTTGTGGCTCGCCCAGCCAGCTGCGTAGGCGTGTGCAGACCCACGTTGGAGGCAGTCTTCCTACACACCCCGGACCGTGATTACTTCCGGTCTGCCTGCAACTTCCCTTGAATCTCTCGGGCCTGTCTGGTTTATTACTCCAATTTTACTTTTAGCCTTTAGGTCACAAAGTTCGTAGTTAGACAAAATCATATTTATTACAGAATCTGATACTGATGATGGGATACATCATCACATAATGATGGTTTCAGCCTGATTCTTGTAGTAAAACGGACCCTTAGGTTCCTCACATGTTGGCAAGGGGACGGGATGCTTGGAAGAGCCTGGAATTGGGGTGCAGCTGGGCCTCACGGGACCTGGAATGGAATTCAAGACCTGCTCTGCCACCTGCTGTGTGCTGGGTGGGACCCTCCCGTGCACTCCACCGCACCCCACCCCACCCAGCCACCGCCCATCACCGGAGCAGCTTGTCTGGGGTCTGTTCAGCACCTATGAGATGGCCTGACTTGAAGATATTGCTCAGATAAGGACAGGGGCATTGCTCCCAGGAAGGCGTCACAGGGAACTCAGTGCTCCCAGGAAGGCGTCACAGGGAACTCAGTGCTCCCAGGAAGGCGTCACAGGGAACTCAGTGCTCGCAGGAAGGCGTCACAGGGAACTCAGTGCTCCCAGGAAGGCGTCACAGGGAACTCAGTGCTCCCAGGAAGGTGTCACAGGGAACTCAGACAGTGGACTGAGGAGGGGGCAGCCCACAAGGAGAAACTGAGTCTGGGGTGGCTGGGGCCATCGGAGATGAGCACTTGAGTGAAAACACCGGCCCAGGGAGACAGACGCCTGACTCTTGGAGGTCCCAGAGTTCCTAGGCACCTGAGGAGCTGGAGGCAGTGACGGCGCAGGGCCAGCGAGGTGGTGGCAGGAATGGGGAGCATGAAGGACCTCAGGGGACCAGGGCTGTGCTGTTTCCTGACTGGTGTGGGGTACCCCAGTGTCCAGGGGCGGAGATGGGAAATGAAGCTAAATGCAGTGGCGCCCTCGGGTCTGTGCGAGGAATTGACAAGGCGGTGACCCCACAACGCTGCAAACCAAGGAGGGCTCCCAGCCAGGCATTCCCGGCTTTCCTGGGTTAGAAAGTGGAGACACGAATGTCCCCTGGGCAGTGCTCCGTGACCTGTCCCAGTGTTGGTCCCTCGGTGCTGAGGCCATGGGGCAGTCCCTGGCATGGACAAGCACCTGCGGCAGAGGGCAGGGCCTAGCAGGGTGGGGACTGGGCGAGGATGGGGCGGGGAGGGGTGGGGCTTCACTCCCACAGTCAGGCTTTAGGGCACAACACAGAAGAGTGTAGGTGCCAGAGAGAGGAGGGCGGAGGAGGTGCAGGTGGGCCAGGGCTGCCTGCTGAGGGACTCCAGGGTCTGTATATTCAGAGGTGTGGGGTGGGCTGGCTTAGAAAGTCTGGGAAGGGGTGAGGGACAGAGAGAGATAAGAGAAAGGGAGGGAAGGAAGCAGGCAGGGGAGAGAGGGGGAGAAAGGAAGGAAGGGAGAAGGGAGAGACAGAGGGAGCTGGGGTGCAAGCGCCCCCGGTTAGAGCCTTCAGAGCAGCAGCAGACTGTGTGCCCAGTCCTGCAGGGGCACGGGCACTCTTGTTTCAGAGGCTGTGACTGGTTGGAAACGCTGGGGTAGGAGGTGCGGCAGAGACAGGTGGGTCAGACCAGGCAGGAGAGGGACACAGTAAGGCCCTATCCCAAGTTCACCCACGGGGCCACCTACTCCATAGCCGCAAGCTGCCTCAGAGACACAGGCCCTCCCGCCCCAGCCGCTCCTTCCTCCTCCCACCCAGGAGGCCCTGCTGTTGTGCTGGAATGGGGCTCCTCAAAACATCTGCTGAGCCCTAACCCATGGCACCTCCAAATGGGACCTTCCTTGAAGACAGGGTCTGACCAGGGGAGATCAGGTTGAAATGTGGTCAGCAGGGTGGGCGCTAACTCCCTATGACTGCTGTCCTTATGAAAAGGGGGAATTAGGACACAGAGGCAGACCTGCACAGAGGGAGAGTGCCACGGAGAGTGTGGAGAGACCCAGCCACTATCCAGGGACCACCCCCTCCACCATCCCTGGGGGGAGAGCGCAGGCTGGGGGGACAGGCCCTTCCCTAGTGCTCGCAGAGGGAGCCTGGCCCTGCCCACACCTTGATCTCGGACCTCAGTCTCCAGCAGCATAGGATGATAAAACTCTGTTGTTGAAGCCTCAGGTCTGGGGTGCTTTGTTATGGCAGGGGCACCCCTGCACCCTCCCTCCTGATCCCTGCTCCCATCCCCTTCTCCAAGTCTGTCTGGTCTGCTCAGCGCTAGGAGCTCCACCAGGCTTCCCCTCCTCTCTGGATGACCCAGCCTTAACCAAGGCCTGACCACCCACCTGGATGGGGAGGGGAGGGCACGGGGAGAGACGAGGAGGGAGAGAAGGCAGGAGCGAGGGAGAGCTGGGGAAAGGACAGAAGAAGAGACAGAAGGAGAGGGAGAAGGGGAGAAGAGAGATGGGGACAGAGATAGAGAGAGTGGACAGAGAGAGAAGAGAAAGAAAGAGAGACGACTGGAAAGAGAGAGAGAAAGACTGGGGTGGTCAGGGTTGGGGGGTGGAGTGTCCGGGCCTGGCAGCTCAGCCCTAAACCTTGCGGTAATTGATGCTTTGTAACAATGTAACTTTGAAGTAGTGGACTAGCTCGGTGTGCCTGGTGACTGAATAATTGAAGAAATGTTTGCAGGGCTGGTGTAGAGGGCTAGCAGCTGAGGCCTGCTCTGACATGTATGAAGACTGATAATGTATGCCTGAGCCGGCAGCGTGGCAGTGTGAGACTCCTGACCCCAGAGTCTGGGGGCCCAGGATGCTCTCTTCATGGCGTTTAACTTCCACGGTGCTCCCCAGGCAGCCCCTGCCGGTTGCTGAACTCAGTAGAATTCCTTGAGGCTGCGGTCTCTGAAAGTGCTCTAGGAGTGGGGATGTGGAGCTCAGCTTCAGGGTGGGATTCCAGGAGCATGGAAACATGGGGTGGTCCCACCCAACGTGGAGCTAGGACCCCCACATCCTCTTGCAGTTCATTCTGTCCACGTCCCTCCAGTTGCTCAGAGCTGCTATGTGAGCCAGGCGCTGTGGAGGGGGGAAGGAGGGGTGAGGTACAGGGGAAATACACCGTGTCCCTGACCCCAGCAGCTTGTCATTTGGGAAAAAGTCAGTTTCCACTTGTGGAAGGGCCTGCTCGATGCCACAGAAGAAACCGTGTCCGGGATGGAGGGTGTGCGTTTGTCAACTCCTTGGGTGGCATTCTCTGGCCATCCTAGAACCCCTGCCCCGTGGACTAATAACCGGTGTTAGCCAGAGTTAACCGGTGTCAGCCGGTGCCTGATGGAGAATGTCACACCTACTCACTGGAAATGGGCGGGAAGGGGTTTGGCCCTTCGCTTCCCAACTCCCTTTTCAGTGACGGCAGCTCGGGTGTTTGACGTTGGCCGTGGTGGAAACACTTACACCACAGAGATCGACAGATTCTATGGTCGGGATTTTCTTTTCTTTTGTTTTTCTCTCCTTTTGTTTTCTATTAGGAAGGCCGATGCCGGTATGCCACTGAGAAGGTCATCTAAGTCCAGCTCAAGGTCATCAAAACCCACGGTTGCTGCAATCATAGAAGAGGACCCCAAGCAGTGGATTAGTTCTGCCTTCTTCCGCCAAGTGAGTAAACATCTCATTCACAGAACAACTGACTTTCAGACAATATTAAGATTTCCACAAAAATGGCTATTTGGAAAAACACACATCTGCTAATATATCTGAAACATAAAACTCCAGCAGTCTTGGTGCAGTTAAAAACAGAATTTGGAGACATTCGTGGGGCCTGTTTCTGTATTAGTCAATGAATTCATCATATTTATATATTTATGAGCTGGGCTTGGGGGCTCACACCTGTAATCCCAGCACTTTGGGAGGCCGAGGCGGGAGGATCACTTGAGGTCAGGAGTTCGAGACCAGCCTCGCCAACATGGTGAAAACCCATCTCCGTTAAAAATACAAAAATTAGCCAGGTGTGGTGGTGCACACCTGTAGTCCCAGCTACTCGGGAGGCTGAGGCAGGAGAATCACTTGAACCCGGGAGGTGGAGGTCGCAGTGAGCCAAGATCACACCACTGCATTCTAGCCTGGGTGACAGAGTGAGACTCCATCTAAAAAAAAAATGTTGAAAATACCACTCTTACCCACAGGGAATACTGGCAGTGAAATCCAGTTGAACCAGCTACAGTGGAGAGTCTTGCTTGCTGACATTACTGGCCTCTGGGTGAGAGTGGTTTCATCACCACGGACGACCTACATTTCACCAACTTTGCCCCCTGCCATCTCAGGCTAGGACACTGTCCTCCGAGGGCTCCCTGCCAAGTGTGCCTGGACTCAGGGACTCCCACACAGCAGGAAATTGGCTCCTTTGTGTGACTGGCTCAGGTCGGACAGCTGCTTCCATGGTATCCGCCAGACATATGGGACCATCCTCCACCTCAGAGCCCTCCACAGCCCCCAGGTTCCAGCTGTGGTGACCGGCAGGAGGCTGCTGCAGACCCTGGGCTGCCCAGGTGGCCCCAGATCTCAAAGCTTCTCTGGACGGACTGCATGGCGCTCCCTCTGGGCCACAGAGAGTGCCCCCTGCCTCCCAGGCCAAGCCAACCCTCCCTTTGTCTCCCAGGAAGCGAGTTCTTCAGCTCTTGCCGGAGAGCCTCTGGCAGACCAGCGACCCCTGCTCACCTCTCCAGCCACCTGGGCAGAAAGCCTTTCTTTGTTCTATTTCAGCCCAAACCAACCAACCTGCCGAGGCCAAGCCTATGACTCAGACACATGGAGGTCGCACAGTTCATCCGCTGTGCCCAAATGTGGGTAGACTCGGGTTTGGGACCTGCTAAGAGCCTCCCTTTGGAGAGGGAGCTGGTGGTGTCAGGACTCCCTCCCGAGCACTGACTGGCTTTGTTATCTGGGGCCAGTGACGGCGTCTCTCTGTTCCTTTTGTTTCCTGTCCGCCAAACGTAAATAATGGCAACCCAACCTCATAGGGTAGTTGTAGACTGAAATGTGTTAATTGTGCAAAGATTAAATGTGTTTATCCATGCAGAATGCTAGCACAGTGCTTGATATAGAGCAGGCTTTTCACAAATGTTAATTATTATTATTAATGTGGCTATTGTGATCTTTGGAGTGAATGGACGAGTCATCTGCCTTGTGTCCAATGCAAATGCTTAGTTGTCCTGAATAACTGCCAACTACGCAGCATTTTGCAGTGAGAGGCTCTGGGCCCTCGGATCAAGCCGCTGGCCTGTGTAATTCAGCCCTCACAGTGCAGTGTGCTAGCTGGCATCAAATTTGACTGCAAAACACAGACAAGGCCAAGATAAAGAAGATAGAGAGTTCTAGTGCGGGACACCAGGGCTGGTATGGTGTGCCCACCTGCCAGGAGCCCAGGTGGCATCTGCTTGCTCTGTCACCCTTGACTCAGAGCTTCCACCTTGTAGACCAAGGCTCTGCTGGGCCTTCAGGATCCCAGAGGGAGGAGGGAGAAGATAAGACCAAGGATGCGTCCCTGCTGCCTTTTGAGGAAGCGTCTTGGCAGCTGCCATGTGGCATGTCACCATACATCTCAGTGGCCAGAAGTTAGGCTCAGCAAAGAGGCTGGAACAGTTTTTATTCTGGACGACATAGGCCCAGTTAAAAATTGGGGGTTCCACTTCTAAGAAAGAGGGGCGGTAGTGCTAGGGTGGACTCCGGGTAGTGTCTGCAGGAATTTTTCTACCATCTCTCTTCCTGCCATTTGTGAACCCTTCCCGATGTAGCAGGGATTTGATGCTTGGGACTAGGAACCAGTGACCTATGTCAGATGGTTCATAGTCTCTGCCCACTCTTGAGGGTCACTGATGCCCCAGCCTATCCCATATTTACAGAAAGGGGTGTCCTGCAGAGGCACTTATGCGGGTGCTGGCAGAGTTTTGGGGGGTGGATGTGATTTGTATTAGTTATCTAATGTTGTGTGACAAATCACTCCAACACTTAGTGGCTTAAAACAACAACAATCATTTACGATCGCTCACAGTTACTTTGGATTTGGAATTTGAGAGTGCCTCGGCCAAGAATTCTGTCTGAGCGTCTCTCTTGAGGTTGCAATCAGATGTCAGCTGTGGCCATAGTCACGGGTGGGACCAATAGAGGATGGAGGATTTACTGACATGGTGGCTCCCCTACATGGCTGGCGAATTGCACTGGCTGCTGGTGGGAGGCCTCAGCTCTCTCAGCACGCACCTCTCCATGGAGCTGCTTCAACATCCTTGCAACATGGTGACCAATTTCCCACAGAAGGAGCCATCTGGCCAGGAGATGAAGACAGAAGCTGCACTACCATTAATGACCCAGCCTTAGGAGTAATGCACTGTCACCTCTGCAGTATTCTGTTGTCACAGGGGTCAGGCCTGATTCCCTGTGGGAGTGGACTACACAACGACAGGAATACTAATAAAGGGGATAGAGTTGGCCTCATGTTGGTGGGTGGCTCGCAAAGTGCCTATTTAATCAGCTTACCATGACTGGCTGTGGCTCCATTCATCCCTGTGGAAATTCAGACGAGCAGAAATTAACACTGTGAATCTTCACCAGTTGACTTTAGGTCTCCTGAAGGGTCTCTTGATCTACTGGGATAATTAATTTGGGAAATGGAAAATTTCCCCTTTTCCTTTCCAATGGAAAACGCTTTGGCTGAGAGTTAGGGTTTTAGAGCTGGTTCGAGGAAAAACTAGCTACATCCTCTGGGCAAATCATTTAAATTTTGTGCACCTTCTTTTTCTTATCAGTGAAACTGGAATAGTGATGTCCTTGCCTCATGTCCTTCCCAAGGATATTTTGAGACTCCAGTGGGAATAAAGGTGAAGATGCAGTGAACGTGTTCTCCTTGGGCTGAAGTTCATGGCTGCTACTCAGCTGAGTATGAAAGTCTTCTATGAAAGTCTCACATTTGTTACTAGCCCTTTTCTAGAGAAAGAGAAATAAAACTCAGTGAGATTCTCACATTGTCTGGAGGTGCCTTGATGACTCTGCCAGGCCAGAAGCTGTCTCACAGAGTGAGATTTTTAAGGGAGTTTAGTCCATAAGGCCCAAAGCCCTTTGGCACTAATGACTTGTGTTTCCAGGGGGCAATTGTTGGTGCCACCAGCATGGTATTAGATGTGTACGGACACTCAACTTTGGCGTGCAATTTCAGGGACTCATAGACCCCCTGAAGCCCATCTATGAATTTTCCTAATGGTTGAAGCTTCAAATTTAAAACTCTTGCCTTGCAGGGTGGTGTGTGAGAGTTACTTAGGTCAACTGTAAGAAATTAGACCATGTGTAAAAGAAATCAGGCTACAGGCAGGCAAATAGTTTAATTAAAGTGGACATTCTGACACAGGCCTCCTGCGAGGCCTCAGCTGCCCTCTGGGAAGTTGCTTCTCATCCTAACTTTGTTAATCTCGACTTGTCCTGGAGTCAGACCTGCAGACCCATCTCTCAAAAACAGCTTCCTGGGTACTCCAGGGCTGGGAGGACCTGTGATGAAGGCCAGCCTTCCTACAAGGGTACAGCCTCAGGGTTGAGACCCATACATGTTCAAAAGACAAGTGCATGGCTCTGTTAATGCAAACTCATGTTCACTGCTAGAAAATTAATTCCTACAAGGGACTGATCTAGTTCTTTCTTAACCCCGACAGTAATGAAACCTATAGTAATCATACTCCACACGTGTGCAGCACACAGGTTAACGAAGGACTTTGTCATACAACGTTTAATTCGTACAACACCCTAAAGAGGCAGGTAGTTGTTCTATTTTAAGGATGAGAAAGTTGGGGCTCAGAGAAATGAAGTGACCTGCCCGATGTTACACAGCCGATAGGAGCGTGTGGTCTCAGACCTCACAACCACAAAGACGTTGCTGTTTCTGCCTCGTGCCACCATCTTCCTCACCAAGCAGGTCTTGTGAACCCTAGAACTGACTGTGCAGGCTGCTGAAGCTGCCAGCACATGTTCCCACCAGGCTGACACAAACCACGTTAGATGAAATGAATAACCAGGTCATGGGTGGGGCCGGCCTCTGTCTGGAGAGCCATTAGTTATGATAACCAAACTCAAAGCCAGAGAGCCCCAGACTCCTCCAACTCAGGAGCTTCCCCTGCTAGGGGCAAGGCTGGGAGGGAGGGAGCAGCTTCTTCGTTCAGAGGATGCTGGCAGTGGGTCCTCTATGCTCCTGCATTAGTCACTGGGCTTTGGAGCGAAAGTCCCACCAGGCCAGCAGGCAGCGCCTGGGGTCCGTGGCAGAGGCGTGGGAGGAGCTGAACTACCCCCAAGCGAATCCCCTGCAGGGCAACAGAGGGGTTCCAGGCAGGCCATGTCTAGTCTGGGTGGTAACAGTTCCCTGACCGACATCATGAAAGCAGGGTGCAGGCTGTCTGCTGCGGCCCGCCCCTCTGTGCAGCACACGGACTGCCCACACTCAGGGTGGCCGGCCGGGCTGATCTTCTCCTCCAGGTGGAAGCCAGCATCCCCCACAGGTGAGTGCCGCTGGGCTCGCCGAGAGTCTATTGGGTTTGCGCCCACAGCTGTTCTGCTTCATTTCATTTGCAGTGATACTTCTCACTCCGGTCGTAGGTTAGATTAGGATCCCTAGAAACAGACTCTGAGGGACCGCTGCCTCGTGCAGGTTCACTGGTAGTGCCCTAGGGAGATGCACCAGGGGGCTGAGGGGGACGTCGTCCTTGAGCCTCAGCCTCAGCCTGTCCCCCAGGACGTCGTCCTTGAGTCTCAGCCTCAGTCTGTCCCCCAGAACCTTGCCCTTGAGCCTCAGCCTGTCCCCCAGGACCTCGCCCTTGAGCTGAGGCCTCTGTGGCTGGGATAACCTCTGAGATTGTCCTAAACTGAGACAGAGTATCAAGACTGGGTCTTGGTATCCAAAGTCACACAGTCCTTGGCCATGTGGCACTCCTGGGAGGGGCTGTGACCTTCAACCAGGCAGGTCCCCTGCGGGCGGGGTAGGCTAGCCCAGGGCCCAGCTGGGAGCAGCTCAGCCCACATGCTCAGGAGCTGAGCCACGGTGGGGCCTGGGCTCTGAGAGGGGCGCTGGGTGGAGCACAGTGCTACCCACGGAGCTGAATTTGATTCAATCCCACTTAAACTCTGGATGGTGAGTACAAAAACAAAACGGTGTCATTCCTAGAAAAACGAAGTCGAGTGATTTGGAAAAATTCAGTAAGGGCAATCTACTAAAAAAAGAGTTGAAATAAGTTGTGGACAAGACAACCATAAATGACTAGGCATTCAGGTGGTTTCACGAGGGTCTTTCAGGCCCTGTTCCATTCATGACGTGCATGTTTTTATATTACGGTACCTAAGCTTGTGGTTTACACATGGAAGCTAACAGAACGCTACCCACTGAGCTCATGAAGAGGTTGAAGATAAATGAATGTATGTCAAATTTAACGTTTCAATGGATTTAATATATTTAATATATTCATAGAATTTTGAAAGTGGTTCTCCTCTTTCCCAAACATTTTATTGTCCACCTGGCGCTGCACAGAGTTGAGAGGGCTTCCAGGAGCTTCTGAGCCAGCCTGACGGATGCACAGAGCACATTCCCACGGAGGGAACCACAGACACGGCAGCTCTGGTCACCGCCGGCATCCACCCTTTTCCTGCAGACCCCCAGACTGTGATGCTGTGGCCCAGGCGGGACCCGCCTCCTTCCTCTGATTGTGAACATGGTTCTAGGTGTTGAGGCTTCTGCAGTGGACAAAGCAGACAAAGGCTGTGGCTTTCTGGGGCTCCCTTTACTTGGGTGGGCAGCACAGCAGGGCGTTCATTGCTGGCACGCCCACGGTGGGCCAGGCCCGTGCTGAGTGTGTGGCACGCACTATCACCTGGGCGGGGGTTACAGAGTCGGGTGGCTGACCCTGCTTTTCTGTGTGTTTACGTGTCTCCTTGAACTTGTGGTCACTTTCGATTCCAGGCTGGGAATCAGCACAGAGCTACCTTACGGCCGTGCGTCAGATGCTGGTAAGCCAATCAGTAAGAGGATTGCTAGAAAGGATCCCTGGCTGGGTGGGAATTGGAAGGGTCCGTAGCTCTGTGGTTTTCTCAGAGCCTGGATGTGGACGCCCACGTCCACCGAACCGGGCTCCATGTTGGCTGGAGACTGTGCTTGGGGCACCCACACGGGTAAGGACGAGCATCCCAAGGGACCCTGCTAGACGCCCCCAGCCCAACTCTGCGGAGAAAGGCGGCTGGCTACTGCTACGGCCCTGAGGCCAGGACTTGTGAGTTTCTCATTAAAGAAAACCCAGCAAGGAAAAAGGGGGGAAGGAATGTAGGACTGTGAACGCTTCCTGCGTGGTTTGGGGCAACTTCCTTGCCTCCTCTGGGCTTCAGATTCCCTGTGTAGTGTCACTGGCTGAGTTCAGATGGAGAATGACCATTTTGGAGCCTGTGGTTTGCAGAGGGGAAGCCAGGCCTTCAGGAGCAGCCCTGGAAGGCTGCCCATCTGCCCGTCTCGACTCCTGGGGAGCCCCAGCAGGGAGGTCAGTCTCCCGAGGCTCCGTCTGCCTCCTCTGCCTCCCTCCTTTCCTGGCCTCAGAGTCCCCACAGGCCCCTCAGCAACTCTTCTCTGGAATGAAAGAACACCTGTTTTCTCCCTGGAATGCCAGTGTGGAAGTAAACAAAAGCCACCTGTGACAGACTGAATGCTGTGTGTTTCCCCAGATTCACTGTTGAAGCCCTGACCCCTGGTGTGATGGCTAGAGATGGAGCATCTGGGAAGTGATTAGGGTTAGAAGAGGTTATAAGTGTGGGTGCCCCATGATGGGATTCGTGCCCTTGTAAGAAGAAACGTCAGAGAAGTCTCTTCTCTTGCTTCCTCTTGCTCCTTCTCGCTCTGCCATGTGCAGACAGAGGGAGAAAGCGGCCGACGGTAAACCGGGGAGAGAACCCTCACCAGGAACAGAGTGTGCTGGCCCCATGATCTTAGACTTCTGGCCTCTAGCACTGTGAGAAATCAAGCCCTGCTATTTAAGGCCCCAGTCTATGGGACTTTACTGTGGCGGCTAAGGCTAAGACTGCACCAAAATGAGTGTGAGCAGAGGCTGCTTATCCAGAGCTTTCTCCAGCAAGGGGCTCACTGCTTTTACCTGCGTATGGACAGGGGGGTGGGCGAGCTTCCCGGTGGAGGAAAGGAGGCTCTCAGGGATGCTCTGGCTGGAGGCTGCTGGCATGGGCAGCTGGAGGCGCTCAGAAGCAGGGCGTCAAAGGAGATTGGCTGTGGGTATTTGGCTTTTCCCAGTTAGTCCTCAGTTAGAAGCAGGGCTGAGAATAAGAGAAGCTGGTATTTACCGCTCAACTCCTGACCTCTGGGACCAACCGCTGCAGAGGCCATGCCTGGCCCCGGGGCAGCGTCTGCAGGTGCGGGTCAGGGCCCTGCCCTGATTTATGGCCTGGCCCTTGTCCATGGGCACATCCAGGCTCTCACCAGGCACCTGTCTGTTCCTCCGAATGCACAGCTGTGTGCTAGGAGGGAGCGCCAAGGGAGCTTCTAAAAATGTCCTTCTGGGCTCTTCTGTGACGGGGGATTTTAATAGGGGCTTCCCAAAATCAATCAACCCCTTAAATCACTGCTTCTGGGATGGTCGGGTCAGGCAGGAGGGAAAGGCGCATGTTTTCAGGCCTGTGGGGATGGAGGTCCCCCCAGGTGCACGTCTTTGTGAAGCTGGTGGCCCGTGGCCTCAGAGATGCCCCAGGCAGCCCAGGAGTCGGGCTGTGGACCTGGAGCTGGGTGCTGAGAAGCCTGATGGCGCTTTGGGAATTCCATAGCTGCCTGGTTGGAAGTTTAGTATTAAAACTACTTTAGGCCAGGCATGGTGGCTCACGCCTGTAATCCCAGCACTTTGGGAGACCGAGGTGGGTGGATCACAAGGTCAGGAGATCGAGACCATCCTGGCCAACATGGTGAAACTCCGTCTCTACTAAAAACGCAAAAAATTAGCTGGGCGTGGTGGTGCTTGCCTATAGTCCCAGCTACTCGGGAGGCTGAGGCAGGAGAATCACTTGAACCAGGGAGACAGAGGTTGCAGTGAGCTGAGATCACGCCACTGCAATCTAGTCTGGTGACAGCAAGATACCGTCTCAAAAAAAAAAAAAAGAAAACTAAATTAAAACAGAAACAAAAATAGCGCTCTACTATGCCACACATGTGCAGTTTGAACACACAGAGAAGGCTGCAGTGGGGGGTTTGAGCCAGACAGGCACAGCAACCACAGCTACAGGGGCCTGAGGAGGCCACACCGGTGTCTCCCCAAAGCCATTGTAGAGCTGGGGAAAGACCAAAGCTTCTCCCAGTGGGAACCAGAGTGGTCCCTGCTGGTTGCAGCCAGTGCTTGTTCTCAGGGCCAGGCCTAGCTCGTCATTCCATACTCAGTGTTTTCCAAAGTGGGAAAATGCACCTTCTGGAGCAAACCATCAACTCCTATCCACAAACCAAGCCCCGGTCCAGGGGAAGGGACACAGGGATGGAAAGCTGGGATGGGGGCGCTGGCCTCCTTCCGGGGTGAGACCTGGCAGAGGGCCAGGGTGGCTCACAGAGATACTGTTTGGGGGAAATGAGTATGTTAGACTTAGATGGCCTCTGCTGTGTCTGGTTGTTAAAAATCTCCTTTTGCATTTGATTCTTTCTTTCTTTCTCCTTTTTAACTCCTTCTCCTTACCTGCCCCATTCTTTCCATGATTCTTGATCCACAGGGTGACAAGAATCAGCTAATTCAGCGGGGCCGTCCGGACTGATCCCCTGTCTCTGAGGCAGCAGCTGCTCCATGATCGGGAGGTATTAATTAATTAATTAATTAACTCAATCCCTTGGCTTTCAGGCTGGGCCATGTTTACATCAGACATTGATAACAGCAAATGAGTGGATACATTTCCAACAGATGGAGACATTTTTCTAAAGTTTTCTAGGCCAGGCATGGTGGCTCATGCCTATAATCCCAGCACTTTGGGAGGCCAAGGTAGGAGGATCACTTGAAGCCAGGAGTTTGAGACCAACCTGGGCAACATGGTGAAACCCCATCTCTCCAAAAAAAAAAAAAAAAAAAAAGTTTTCTAGTGGGCAATGCTATGGCTTCCACTGAGAATCAGTTTCACTCTCGGGGTTAGGGAATAGCTCTGCGTTTCCACCTTAAGACTTCTAAGACAAAATTCAATTTCAGTTTCTTGGATTGATTTGGGGCTTTGATACATTTGACTGGTTGCCTCCTTCTCTATTACCCAGACGGCTGCTACCACGGATGCAACCTTCATTTGGCACACGCCAGGCTCTTGAGGCCGCGCATCCATCTTGGAGGGGCCCCGTGGGTACTCTGAAAGTCTCCTGAAGCCTTGCAGTCTTTCTAAGGTGAGATGGTGGAGGATGAGCAAGAAAGGAGCAATCCGAGTGGTAAAATAATGTTTTATTCCATGGATGAACAGACGCTACCATGCCACATCCCCACGTCCCTCCGACCAGGTGTTGTGGCCAGAGCTGGCTTCCCCTTCCAGACCGAGCTGGCTTTGTAGTCGTTCAGGCCCATTGAAATAGCAAACGCACAGTCACGTAGCACTCGGATCGGTCCTTTTATCAGCACATTGGTCCTTTCACAAATGGTGGTGACTCACCTTTAAAACACCCGGTGACAGAGACCCTCCAATCACCCTAACTATAACGGACGTTCAGAGCTTGTGTGGATAAACCCAAGACCCCAAACGCCAAAATGCAACAGGGATGCATCTCCTCTGCTGACAGGATGCCAAGGACACCCCTGCAGGGCTGGGAGCTGGAGAAGTCAGTCCTGACATTCAGCTTGTCCACAAGCTCAAAAGGAAATGACAGTAATGGATATATTTCAAACTAGCACTTCTAGAGTCCAGATCAGCCAGAGTGTCAGCATGCAGGCTCAACACGGGGTTAGCACTGGCGGGAGGAGGTTGGGTTGACTGCACAGAGGCCTGACACACACTGCTTCCTTTATATACAACAGAATGAAATATACACTGGGAACACCGGCCGCACATTTGGTGGGAGTGTATCTTACAAGGCTAACATAGCACTTCATCAACCTCCTGCTCATGGCAGGAAGGTCACGGAGCCTCCCCCAATGATGGGAGAGGGAAGCGCGCAGGCCCACAGAACCCTCAGGACTCCCGTGGCCCGAGCACACACAGCAGACCTGGGGGTGGAGTTGACCCTTCGTCTTTTTTCTGTTTTGTTTTGTTTTTTTTTTAACCAAATGTCATGGGAAAAAGCTTGATACCGTACCAAGGAGGACAAGGATGGTTGTAAGGACGGATGTAAATAGACAGTGCACATCTACAGCCAAGCCCTAGCACAGCTCAGTGGGAGACAGGTTTTATTTACGTATTTCTTTTAATGGGTACTATTGGCTGTCCTCCCCCTCAGTGTTTAGGAGCGTCTCCAAGACCTCTGAAGACAGCCTTGAGGAGGGAGCAGTTACTTCTGATCTGCTTCTTCATCCAAACAAGCGCAAAGTCTACACGTGGACTGGAGAAAGGAGAGTGAAACAAAGCCAAACCCAAAACAGCAAAACCACCCTGTGACGGAGACACTGGAGCATCAGGTTAAAACCATAGAAAAATACGAGTTAATTCTATCAGGCTAACCATTAGCGTAGCTACAGTAAGACTTTGTACAGAAAAGGGTTTTCTTGTAGCCCCTCACCATGTTGGATGTCCTAATGACAGGACGTAGCAAGCCCATCTATGAACGCGCACTGCTAAACGATTGTGCTGTAACTGCTGTGTCCGTGGCACTGTGACGTGAGACAGGGTGTGATGCTGCGAACGGGAACACAGAGGCTCGTGGGCGGGTCTCATGCTTCCGCCGGGTGGCTGGAATCTAGGGGCCGGTGTTCTGTGGGCTCGCGCGGGCTTTGGCGCCACCATCCTTTGCTCGGTTCCTTGGGGGAGGGGCCACGGCGTGCCGGTCTCTCGGGCGCCAGCAGGAGGCGCTGCTGCGGGGACAGAGTTGTCCCTGGTGCGATGGAGGCCGCGAGCGAGGACCCCGGGGAAGGAGCTTGTTTCCCAAGCAAAACTGCATCCGAGACACACATGCTGTGGCACACCCGGCCCCGCCCCTCCCCGCCCCGCCCCTCCCCGGGAAGAGGGAGGGCAGGGAAATCCCTCAGTTGCATCTGGTTGTAGAAAGAGCCACGTTTGTGCTTAGAGCGACCTGAGGTTAGTCGTCCTCCTCGTCCTCTTTCGCTGTGACTGTGGGCAGTTTGTCCTGGATCCTGAAGCATTCCACGAAGAAGTTGATGATGGACCGGTACAGATGCTGTTTGAGGCTGGCGCTGTGAAAGTAATGGCTTTCGTCGGGGTAAATCTGCAAGGAAGGCACGGAGAAATTACTGTCCCCGGAACATCCTCCCCGTGGGACGGGAACCCACGGGAGGTATGGAGCCCAGGGAAACCTGGGCCCCGTCCAGGGCTGGATTTTAGTGGATGAAGTGAGTTTCCTAACCATGTCACTCCTGATGGAAGTGCCCCTTCCTCCTGGGACTTTTGCCTGGCTGTCCCAGTCAGAGGGGGTCCTCCCCTAGCGTGGAAATGCAGCACCCATTCATGAAGCCAACCAGCCTTCAAACACCGCCACTCCCCCGGGTGCCTATCCCTTGCCAGGCACAGCAAATGCTCCGTGGAAACTGGATGAAAAATTTGGGAAGTTCTTCATTCAACACTCTAGACTCTGGATCTTTTTGCTTGAATTTGCAACATGGATACAAGCTTGGGGACTACAGAGCTGCAGCCCAAGTTTTCAGGGTGTCAGGCTCTGAAAAGAAATGAAAAGAATTCCATGCCTCTAATCCCAGTGCTTTGGGAGGCCGCGGCAGGAGGATCACTTGAGGTCAGGAGTTCAAAACCAACCTGGCCAACATGGTGAAACCCCGTCTCTACTAAAAATATAAAAATTAGCTGGGCGTGGTGGGGCACACCTGTCGTCTCAGCTACTCAGGAGGCTGAGGCAGGAGAATCACTTGAACTCAGGAGGCGGAGGTTGCCCTGAGCCGAGATCGCGCCATTACGCTCCTGTGCTCTCTGTTACACTCTGACTGTGGGAAACTCCCGCGGAGGGGCTGCGTGCTGCCCTGGGTGCCCACAGGCTGGCCCCACGGATTTTGCATCCTGGCCGCTCACTTCCTTTGTGACTGTGGACAGGTAACTTGCCTGAGCCTGGGATTCCAGGTATGTCGGGTGGGGAGGATAATCGCAGTAGAGTCCACCTCATAACACTTTGTGAGAATTAAACAATCTTACAGCCACGATGTGCTTAGAGCGAGGCCTGGAATGTAGGCTTGTTCAGTCCCACACTGCAGCCTCAACCTCCTGGGCTCAAGTGATTCTCCCACTTCAGCCTCCTGTGTAGCTGGGACCACAGGTACACACCAGCTATTTTCTAAAAACTTTTTGTAGAGATGGGGTCTTGCTGTGTCGCCCAGGCTGGTCTCAAACTCCTGAGCTGAAGCAATCCCCATACCTCAGCCTCCCAAAGTGCTGGGGTTACAGGTGTGAGCCACTGCATCCAACCCAAAACCCACATTTTTCTGTGACACTAGACTACCTCTTTCTGCCTTCCTTGTATTTTTTTGGAGGGTAAAATTCACCTTTATTTTGAAGTATTTATTAATGCTGTCATTAGGCTATGATACATGATTAAAACATCAAGTAGTACAAGAGGTATGGGGCAGGAAGCTTTCTCCTGCCTCAGGCCCCCATCTCCTGTGCTCTTACCTGGGGCTGGGCCTGGCTCCAGATGCATGGAGTGCCTGTGAAGGCCTTTGCCGTGACCACACGCCTGTCCCCGGGTGGGTCCCGCTCCCTGATACCCGTGGAGCCTGCAGAGATGCAGGCTGCTGTGTACCTGGGGGGTTCAGCTCACCCCATATCTTGGGGAGTTGCCCACACGAGCACATACAGATGGACCTTTGGTGCTTCCATGGTCAGTGTGCTTAACACTGCCATGCAACTGCCACACTCACTATGAAAAAGTCTGAAATCTGAACGTCTTTCACAAGGAAACTCGAGGGTGCTGTAACCGTGTCCTTCTGCCCCTCTTCATCCACAATGGGGTCCAACTCCCTTCTGGTTGGAGCTCTCCCTGCCTAATCAAGCCCACATATGGTCCCTCCCTCCCACAGGCAGGGATGCTGGAGGCCAAGGCAGTGGTCAGCCCAGGGCAAGAGCTCCCTGAGGGAGGCAGGGTGCCTGTCATTTGTCTCCAAGGAGCTCTCCCATTCATCTCAGACCTGAAGAGACCATTGGGTCATATCTGCTTCACCAAAGGAGGAGAGGGCAGGAAGGAAATGGCAGAAGTTTCCAGAGACAGCCCTGTGCATCAGTGGGAAGAGCTCAAGTTTGGGGCGGCTGGGTCAGCACTTGATGCTGTTGTGGATGGGCCATGGGTTGGTTCTGGGAAAGTGGGCTCAGTTCTGGGAAGGGAACCCCTCTTTCACTACTTCCCAGCTACAGATGGCCCCAGGACATCCTGCCAGTGTGTAGTAATGTGTGGTGTTGGTCAGAGGGAAGCAGTGGGGCAAGGCTCAGGGCCCGCCAGCACCTCTCTCACCAACCCAGGACAACAGTCCCACTCCCCACACCGGGATAGCCCCAGTCACACTGCTGGGCAGGGCGGGTGCTGGCTTGGTCCTTCTCACTGCCCAGAGGAGGGGAGTGGGGCTGGGGTGGGAGTACGGGGTGCTGGTTGTCCTAAAGGGATTTAAACCTGGCTGAAGTACAGAGCGGAGCTATCATTAATTACAAGAAAACGCTGAGCTTGTGCTGATTTTCCAACCTGCTGGGACCCTGCTCATCACCGACCGCCACGGCACAGGTGTGTCTGCTGCAGTGGAATGCCCTGAACACCCGTCAGGTCTTTCTCTATGAAAGGAATGTCTTGCTCCAGGTTCAAAACAGAGTAACATGGGTACTGTACCTGTAAGCTGTAATTAGCCTTTCCCCTAATTAGTTGTGTAATGAGTTCTGCTGTGTGCTGGAAATGAATTTTTTCTGTTCAAAAAAAAAGAAAGAGAGGAAGACGTTTGTTAAAACCCATGGTGCCATCAAGGGGGAGGTTCTTACCAGATACACAGTGAATTAACATTTTCAGTCCTTACCATCAGCAGTGGGATGAATGATCAGGAACTGCTGTTCTTCCAGCGCGGAGACTCGATGGGCTACCTTGGTCATCTGCACATGCGGGGGCAAGGGGAGAGTTAGGGGCTGCTCTGTGGGAAGCCAGGCAGTCTGCTTGGAAACCTGACTGAGAAGGTAGGTGAAGTGTATTGAAAACACTAAGTTCCTGGAGAACCCGGGATGCCTTATATATGCAAGGAAATGCAGGGCGGATCTCAGAAGCCCAGTGATATGGTTTGACTGTGTGTCCCCACCCAAATCTCATCTTGTAGCTCCCATAATTCCCACGAGTTGTGGGAGGGACCCAGTGGGAGATGAATGAATCATGGGGGCGGGGCTTTCCTGTGCTGTTCTCATGATAGTGAATAAATCTCACGAGAGCTGATGACTTTGTAAGGCAGAGTTGCCCTGCACATGCTTTCTCTTTGCCTGCTGCCATCCATGTAAGATGAGACCTGCTCCTCCTTGCCTTCAGCCATGATTGTGAGGCTTCCCCAGCCACGTGGAACTGTAAGTTCTCCACTAAACCTATGTCCTCTGTAAACTGCCCAGTCTCGGGTATGTGTTTATCAGCAGCATGAAAATGGACTAATACACCCAGCTTTCTCCCACATTAACTCCCTTTTTGGAAGAGGAGGGGGTGGAAGAGAAGAAGGGAAAAAGGAAGAGTTTCCTCCAACTCCAGGTAGCCTCAGAGGGCCATCATTTCACCTGGAGCCACAGGGAGCTGACTCCCTGGATGGACTCAGTTCCTTTGTCCAAGTTTCCACTCTGAAAACGCAGTGCTGCCTCGGCTGGGAGCTCTGGCCTCCCTCCCTGCACACAGCTGGAGAAACGCGGTGTCTGACAGCTGCACCAAATCAACAGGTCTGACTCAGGAGGTCGCATCAGAGAGGCTTTCTGCTCCTCAGTGAAGAGCTCACTTTCGGGCCAGGTGCGGTGGCTCACACCTGTAGTCCCAGCACTTTGGGAGGCCGAGGTGGGTGGATCACCTGAGGTCAGGAGATCAAGACCAGCCTGACCAACACAGTGAAACCCCGTCTCTACTAAAAATACAAACATTAGCTGGGCGTGGCAGCATGCGCCTATAATGCAAGCTACTCGGGAGGCTGAGACAGGAGAATTACTTGAATCTGGGAGGCAGAGGTTGCAGTGAGCCGAGATTGTGCCACTGCACTCCAGCCTGGGCGACGGAGCAAAACTCCATCTCAAAAAGAAAAGAAAAGAAAAGAAAAAAAGCTCCCTCTCCCCGAGCAGCACAGCTCTGGCTGTGGCGAGAGCCAGGAGTCCTGTGCATGGCAGGTATCTGTGGACGCTGGAGCTGACTCCCCCATCAAATATCCTCTTACATTCTTCCTCATCCCTGAAGTCCTATAATGGGAAATC